AATTGTTTGAAGAAAAAAGTCCGAATCAGTGACAGACATTTTTTGCTAAAATACAGTACGAATACCTACCCTCTGGCGAGCAGCAGCTCTCTCTTCAGCCTCTTTTCTTTCCCTATCCCTGATCTCATGATTCCTTCGCTCTTTTTCTCTGAGCTCGGCTAGGCTTCGCTCTTCTTCCAACCTGTAAAAGGATCTATGGAGTGCTGGTGAAGCCACAATATAGCATTGTCACCTCTCCATTTCGCGTCGCTCGCTCGCCCTCCTTTCCATTTCTGCTATTTCTGAAGCTTTCTTGTCCAGCTCTTCTCTCTGCCTTTCCCTTTCCAGGTCAGCTTGCCGTTGCAATTTTCTATTCGCAGCAGCGCGTTCCAGCTCGAACATACCGAGTCTTTCTTTCTCTTCCTCCTCTCTTCTCAGCCTTTCTCTTTCAGCTGCCGCTCTTCGCTCAATTTCGCGTCGGGCCCTTTCTCGCATTTCCTCCTCTTGCAGCATGTTTTCTCTCTCCAGATCTTCCAAGCGTTCACGCTCACGTTGTTCCTTTTTCCTCAGCTGAGCCTCCAACAGCTCCTTTTCCCTTCTTTCGTCCTCAAGGCGCTCTCTTTCCCTTCGCTCAGCCTCACTTCTTTCCATTTCCACTCGTTGCTGTTCTCTGCGTATACGCTCCAGCCGCTCCTTCTCCTCTCTTTCCTGGGCACGACGGAGCCTTTCGCGCTCCTCTGCCTGTCTTTGAATGTCAGCCAGCAGATCGGCTTCACGTCGTTCCTCCTCTCTTCGTCGTGCTTCTCTCGCTTCATCTTCCAGTCGCTGTTTTTCACGCTCTGCCGCTTCCATTCTTTGCAATTCAATCATCTCGCGCTCTTTGATTTCCAGGTCCCGTCGCTCTTTCTCCAGACGTTCGAGCTCCTCCCGTTCTCTTTGCAGTTTCTCCAGCTCTTCTCTTTCCTTTTCTCTTTCTCTGCGTTCTCTCTCAATCCGCTCCCTTTTTATGCGCTCAATGCGCTCGATTTCTATTCTTTCTCTTTCGATTCGCTCACGTTCTATCCTTTCCTTCTCGAGTCGCTCCTGCTCCCTTCGTTCCTCTTCTAGTCGCAGTCTCTCCAAATGCTCCCGCTCCCTCTCCAATCGTAATCGTTCTCGCTGCTCTTCTTCAGCTCTTTCCCGTTCCAAACGTTCTTTCTCTAGTTGTCGTCTTCTGGCCAGATCTTCTTCTTCTAGTGATCTACGTTCGTTCTCCATTCTCTCCCATTCAGCACGCCTCTGCATTTCTGTCCTTTCCCGCTCCAAGCGAGCCTTCTCAATGCGCTCCTTTTCCATTTTCTCTCTTTCCTGGATGGTATACTCAAGATCTTTCTGTTTGCGTTCCCTGTCCGTCCGCAAGCGTTCAAGAAGCTTAAATTAGCCACTACTTTGTCATGGAATCAAAACGCAAATGAAAAGAAAATCGCACCTCTCGTTCGCGCTGTTCCCATGCTCGTCTGCTCTCCTCTTCCCTCCTTCGTCTTTCCTCCTCTTCCTTTCTTCGCCTGTCCTGCTGGTCACGGATTCGCCGCTCTTCCTCTTCAATGTCATGGTGATACGTGATTTTGTAATCAACTGTCTTTTCTTCCCGAGTGTTTGGGTCTGGATATCTCACATACAACTGACTCTCAATGGGAGAAGATCGCCCAAGGGGTGGCTAAAAAGTAAGTTTGGAAAAAAGTTTAGAAAAAACAGAAGACATTCATGGAAGAAAATAATTACACCATTTCCGCATACCTGTTGTGAAAGAGCTTCTGTACTTCTTGTGATAACAGTTCTTGTCATAACTTCACGACGATAATACTCATCCTAAAAACTGATAGATCACACAAAGTAATGATTACAATAGAGTTAAAGGACTACCTGTAAGTCTCCTCGATGATGCCCGCTAAGCATTGGCATTTTGTACTCTAATATAGCTGACGGTGCTGTCGAAAAGGATCGAAGCACAGGGATTTCTCGCGTGCTGCTCGTGGAAGGCGGCTTCTCGGAAGACAATAAGTTCTCCGAACTGTACTCAGGCTAAACACATTCAACTTTTGATCTGCAACATTGGTAGGTTATTGTGCAGGGTGAAAATAGGTGCAGCCGAGATGAGTAAGCGGATTGGCATTTGAGAGATGGAGTGCGACGGATCATTGTGTCAACAGAGCGAGTCGCCAAAAAGTTGTATGGGCATGTTACTTCAGCTGACGGACCAACTTTTACCGTACTGGACTGGATTCTTGCACATGCCCACATGCAGATTTCTCCTCTATCCCGTGACTAATCTTCAAGGACATCCGTGTGCAAGAATCTCTAGCACATAAACCTATTCTTGGCCGCCTAGAATAGCACATGATCTCAGCGCATAAGTGAAAGTTACACCCGTTCAATGACGTCGGTCTCGCAAACTGTCTCGATTACGTGAAAGAGACAGTCGCCCGTTATGTGGTTCCCCATGTGGAAAAACTTTTTAGTAGAAATTTTCTCAAAGCTTACAGGAAAAAGGCATCGTGATATAACAAATGGGATAAAATAGAATTCAGTGAATTAAAACTACCCGACAAAAACTTGAGTCAAAGCATTACATAGAAGCTAAAGCGCTCAATATGTAATCACGGGTTTCCAGCAAAACGCATTTACCTAACGGAAGTTTTTCTTTCAAAAACGGGTTACATGGAAGAAAAAATGCAGCTGAATCAAACAAGGTCACTGCTATCGCATTCATTGCTGATAAACGATTACGAGCGGTGCGATGATTGCAAGAAAATGAGATGATTAAGAGAAGAAGTGACTGTCACATCGCTTGATTTGATTCATGTCAAGTCATCTCTGACACCAACGTCGCGTGCCGTCTGAAGCATGCAAATTCTTTTGAATATTTGCAAAAGACTTTAACAACGCTTTCCAAGATCCATATGTAGTGAACTAGATTACCCCAAAGCAAGTCCTTGCAATATTCATGTAGGATCGACATCATGCAAAGTAAGAAAAGGAGTTCACCGAGTTGTACAAAGCTGACCAACTCATGCAAAGAAATTTCTTAGGAACTACTGCAGAAGCGATGGTGAGGAGGAATCGCGCATGCTTCAGTGAAGATCAGCAAGAAAACAGGTTCAGGAATGTGAGAAATTCAAGCGGAGTAGAACGAGATCACCCGCGATGTGCATAGAAGCACAACATGACCACTGAGAGTTTGAATCGTTTAGGAATTTAGTTCTCTTGGTACACTCGATTACCGAGTCAATCAGTTTAGAGAAGCTACAACTATAGTTCAGCTTAGAACAAAGTGCTTAGAAGCTAACGTTGCTTACTCTCTCAGCAAGTGGTGGTTCTAGGCGGACTATTTTAGATTTGCTAATTAACCTGTCCAGGCCGCTAACATGGACAGTAAAAGAGAAGTGACTCATGCCTAAACAAGCTTCAGATCAAATCAAGATGCAAACAACCACACAGTGAGGGGTAGCATACGAAATGGTTGTAAAAACTGATTTCCTATTTTCGCAGCTTTCAGAAACAAGAGAGACGAAGTTCGCGCGGCTACGGCTGCAAAACAACCAGAACATCTTCATCCGGTGTAACTTTTTT